ATTCATCATCTGTCCTTGTTTAATATTAGATGTTAAACAAGGACAGATGATGAATCCGAGGCATCGGAGGCATCCGAGCGACGTTTCCGAACGTAGCCTAAGAAATCCGTTCCGTCGTTCCGATTCCGTGTACACCCACGGTAATTGATTCTGTCCCTCGGAAATTTTCACAAAATGAGAAGTGAGCACCTTTCTGTATTAATGTTCACAATCCATGCACGATTGATGACGCAACGCAACTAAACTTTACGTCCGCTTACAACGACATTTGACGTAAAGACGAAATAACCTGAATTTTCGGGAGTTTTAAATAAGTAAATACATCAGATGTGAACGGAATTTTTTCATCAGCATGCAGATTGAGGGCGCAAGTCTGTGTAAGAGACTCCATATGTATCTTTGTGTGCGTGTGCATTCAGTCATGGTCGTCGCGGTTGCCAGATTTCGCATCTCAACCATGAACAACCTACACTGTAGAAAACGTCCCACTAGGCGAGTTTAAGGTTGTAAGAAACGAGGATTCCCTCCGAGAATTAGCGGCCGTGGGTGTACCGCTGCGCATGAAACATCCTCTGTCCGACCGATCTTTTGAATGGGCATACGTATATTTGCATTAAAAAATCTGAATAAATCTCTTGAAATACAATGAGTGACGGACGAAAACGATTGAGTGTTCCGAACATCGCAAACAAGCTGCGAAAAAGAAACTGAAAGATGACGAGGTTATGGGAAAAACTCATTCCGTCCATTTTCATTCCGTTCCGGCTACATGGGACGGGTAGAGAAACTTCTTACGGAACGAAATTGTAGTGATCTCAAATTTTCTAGTATTGCACGAAAGGTTTCAGTAGCGATATACAATAGACTAAACCCATCCTCCGACATAATTGTCTAACGGCTGAGTTATTTCGCAAGGACGAAAGATGACATTGAGAAGACCCATAAGCCAAGGAGTCAGACGAGGACACTCACTGAAGATATTCAATTCTTCATTAGTAGCACTGTTCTTCATTAGTAACATGGTAACTGAATAATTGAATTTTTAAAATAAGCAAAGTAGCAATGTTAAAGTAGAAAAACCAAAGAGTGAGGTTAATATCATTTGCTCTGACTCGCAAAGTGATAAAATAGTATTAAAAAATGTATAAAAAAACGTTGTTCGACGCATGTGCGAAAATGTTTTTGTATGAATGTGAATTTTGTATGAATGCAGCCCTCGTATAACACATATAACATATAAAATATAACACATAACATATAACACATATAACATATAACATATTTAGAACTAAATAGATATTAAAAAAGATTGAACTCGATGCTTTGGGAGTCGAGCCTAGCAGTCTACGTATTATATAGATGTCTGTGGTCAAGACCGAAAGACCTCCGCTCATTATTGACCGTGGTCCGAATCATGCTGACAACGCTCATGAGCATTGTTTATCTTCGTTTAACATTTGACAAACAACAAGGATGAAATGATTTTTAAGCGTTGTGAGCGTGTATCGGACTGCGGCCTAGAAATACATGCCTAACTGTAGATGAATATTTACTGAAAAGTTCGGGAAAATTTTCGAACTCGTTTAAAAGAGGAAGTAATAAAAAAACATATATGTAATGGATAATCTTTAATGCTATCCCGTAGATGAGCTTAATGATGAAGTTTCTTCTGAAAATCCCTTTGAAGATTTAGAAAGACGACAAAGTGATTTTGGCAAAGCAGTTGGTAGAGATCGTGAGGGCTCCACAGAATCTACAAAACGAACAAAGCATGATGGGGAAATCTTCACATTCAGCGACGACCCTGCGAAATGGCTGATAAACGACTCAACACGTGATTATATCGCTGAACATAACTACAAACAAAATACGCATCTAGATTTTGCGCAGTCAAAGAGAATATATAATAATGCCGTGCGATATTTGAATTTATCCTTGTTCGAAAGAAAACTTTTGAATGGTGAAAAAACACTCCGTACCTGGCTAGTATATTCTGAAAGCAAAGGATCTGTGTATTGTGCTCCATGTCTTCTTTTCGACGGCGAATCATCTTTTGCTTCGAAAGATGGATTCAGCGATTGGAAAAACGCGGTAATAAGGATGAGTGATCACGAAAATTCTAAACAGCATCAAAGTTGCTTGAAATCTTTAAAAGATAGAGCAAGTAATTTTGGTAGAATTGACAAAACTCTTGTAACGTCCGCCGAAATTTGCGCGCAGGCGAATGTCACGTTTAACGACGCTAGACGCGTTGCCGTGGCAACGCGAACTGT